CCCCCCGAATTCGTAGGTTATATTTAAATTACTATGTACTGTGGCGCCTCCAGTAATTAACCACTTACCAAGCCGACCACGTTTTGGATTTGTCACCCCCTCCCCACCCCTCCATAAACAAAACCTGAAATGACGCCTCTGATTTTATGCCAAAGTGGCTTGTTCAAAGTCAGTATATATTGTATGATCGTTAAATGCTGTACGTTTGGAACTGTTAAAAAATGTGTTTGTTGTTGTGGTGGTTTTTCCCCTTAGATGTACGAATTAACCGTTAAACTTTTCAATCAATTTGACTGAACGAGCCCAACAGCAGCTAGCAAAGTGATCAATGCTCTTATGTTTTATATGGTTTTTGTTGTTTTTTTAATTCACTTTCTTCTTCTCCAATAACGTATGATGAAGACCCAGCAATGTCAGTCGCGGCTGCACTGCTCGCTTGAGGACCTTCGACGGCCTCTGCCTGTTGGACTCCCGTGTTCGCCGCCGTTCGCCAGCCTGAACGATGATCGGAAATAACCTCCGAATGCTTTGTTTTCACATTCCCTGGCATCTGATCTATGACATGACACGTGGCATAATGACATCTGTATGCAACAAAATGACATCTGTAACATAACGCGATATAACATATATAAAAGGACACAATATAATGACATCTGTAGTTGGGGCACATGATATCATAACATGCATAATAGGACATACAATATGACACCTAAAACTGGACATACGAAATAATGACATTTAGAAAAAAAGACACATTAAATGACATTTATAACAGTCAAAGAAGTCATATTTTTTTTTTATAAAATAAGAGTGTCTTTATTATTTCCCTGAAATTAATGAACATTTCATGACGTCACGCTCGTGGGTGCCGACTTCTAGGTCAACCTCCCGACTCATGACGTCATCGTGATCTAACCGTGCCAGTCTCAAGGGGAAATAACCAATGTCCACGTCACAGCTCCATGACGTCACGGCTGATATTAAATGTGTTGTAGCTGGGTTGAGGGTGATCTTTTAGAGACGTCTGGCTGTTCCGTCAATAATTTGCTCTACCACGTGGCGGTTCAAACTTTCATTCTCATGTTCTGCTTGCTACGTTGTTTCTCATGTTGTGTTTGCTACGGTGTTTATCATGTTCTGCTTGCTACGTTGTTTATCATGTTCTGCTTGCTACGGTGTTTATCATGTTCTGCTCGCTACGGTGTTTATCATGTTCTGCTTGCTACGTTGTTTATCATGTTATGCTTGCTACGTTGTTTATCATGTTCTGCTTGCTACGTTGTTTATCATGTTCTGCTTGCTACGTTGTTTATCATGTTCTGCTTGCTACGGTGTTTCTCATGTTCTCCTTGCTACGTTGTTTGTCATGTTCTGCTTGCTACGGTGTTTATCATGTTCTGCTCGCTACGGTGTTTATCATGTTCTGCTTGCTACGTTGTTTATCATGTTATGCTTGCTACGTTGTTTATCATGTTCTGCTTGCTACGTTGTTTATCATGTTCTGCTTGCTACGTTGTTTATCATGTTCTGCTTGCTACGGTGTTTCTCATGTTCTGCTTGCTACGGTGTTTCTCATGTTCTCCTTGCTACGTTGTTTATCATGTTCTCCTTGCTACGGTGTTTCTCATGTTCTCCTTGCTACGTTGTTTATCATGTTCTCCTTGCTACGTTGTTTGTCATGTTCTGCTTGCTACGTTGTTTATCATGTTCTGCTTGGATGCCTGAAAGAGAGGTGTAACGATATGTCAAACAATCATCAAGCAGGTCCAGGCCCCAGGGCCCAGGGCCCAGGACTGTTAATACGAAGTACAAAAAAAAATTTTCATTTTTTTTTTAATTTAACATAATGTTAACATCATCTGAAATTGTAGTTTTAACATTCTTCAACTCGAACAGTCATTTTATTTGTGCAATGTGAACAATTAGAGTAGATTACTATAATGGTCGTTACAATGGACCTTACAATGGTCACTACACTGATGCCTACAGTGGTGACTACAATGGTCACTACACTGATGTCTACAGTGGTAACTAAAATGGTCACTACACTGATGTCTACAGTGGTGACTACAATGGTCACTACACTGATGTCTACAGTGGTGACTACAATGGTCACTACATTGATGTCTACAGTGGTGACTACAATGGTCACTACACTGATGTCTACAGTGGTGACTAAAATGGTCACTACAATGTTTTCGTCAATGCTCACTACTATGGTCCTTACGATGGTCACTACAAAGGTCTCACAATGGACCTTACGATGGTCACTACAAAGGTCTCACAATGGACCTTACGATGGTCACTACAAAGGTCTCACAATGGACCTTACGATGGTCACTACAAAGGTCTCTACAATGGACCTTACGATGGTCACTACAAAGATCTCACAATGGACCTTACGATGGTCACTACAAAGGTCTCACAATGGATCTTACGATGGTCACTACAAAGGTCTCAAAATGGACCTTACGATGGTCACTACAAAGGTCTCACAATGGACCTTACGATGGTCACTACAAAGGTCTCTACAATGGACCTTACGATGGTCACTACAAAGGTCTCACAATGGACCTTACGATGGTCACTACAAAGGTCTCTACAATGGACCTTACGATGGTCACTACAAAGGTCTCTACAATGGACCTTACGATGGTCACTACAGTGGTCACTAAAAAGGTCCCCCTACAATGGTGTCTTCAATGGTCACTACACTGGACACTACAATGGTCACTTCATTGGTCACTTACCAGCATCCGTTGGTCACATGGATACATTTTCATTAATAGACATCTCCTGCGGGATGGCCGTCTGGAAAAAATAATATTAATAATTATTGTCGTAGTGAAATGATAAGTTTCTGTAAGACACTGAGAGGTACGGTGACGTCAATCAGACATTTGTCTTAGAACTTGTTGAAAAAATAAAAACGCACAGTTATATATTTTAAGTTTAAATTAAACTTCATCTAAATCTCCTCACAGTGCCATCTATCACCATAACACAATGCTACTTTATATAGTATATAATAGATAAATAATATCGTAATATATCTCTTAATTCCTCTCTATGTCTATCTACTTCATTTCATTTATAGATAAGTTATATGATCATCTTTATCAGCCTTATAGATCACCTATATTACCATGACAGATCATCTGTATCCCCATTATAGATCACCCACATCACCATGACAGATCACCTATATCACGTTATAAATCAACTATAGCGCCGTTCTTGTCACATATTTCACCTTTATATATCACACCTTTGCATATCACTTCCATCACCTTTTAAGCAATATATTTCACCTATATTTTCCACATATATCACATATGTTGTAAACCTATATCACCTTCATATATCACATAGATCACCTTTATTGGTCACCTATCCAATTATATAGTTCAATTATGTCACCTTTATCACCATTATCACCTTTATTGCTCCTTTATGTCTACATTTACCTTTTCTATCTCATCTCCTTAAATATTTTCCATTTATCACCACTATATCCCTTCATCACCTCTATTTCCCTATCACCTCTATATCCCAACATCACCTCAATATCCCCTCCCATCACTTCTGAATATACTCCATCACCTCTGTATCCCCTCCCATCACCTCTGTATCCCCTCCCATCACCTCTGTATCCCCTCCCATCACCTCTGAATATATTCCATCACCTCTGTATCCCCTCCCATCACCTCTGTATCCCCTCCCATCACCTCTGTATCCCCTTCCATCACCCCTATATCCCCATCACCTCTATATCTTCCATCACCTCAATATCCCCTCCCATCACCTCTGTATCCCCTTCCATCACATCTCTCACATCATCTTTGCACCCCATCCATCACCTCTATATCCACAAAATCCACTTACAATGGACATAATCCAAGTCTGGTTTGTCGTATTTAACGTAACGAGGTCCAATGTCGTTGTGGTAGGCAACAACGGGCCCACCGATGCCCCCATGGATGCCCCCACCGTAGTATTCACTATCTGAGATGATGTATCCATCGACCGGGACTATCCCTGGATTCACGAATGGATGGATTGCGTTACCTCTGGCTATTTGGATATCAGCACCTTGAAAATTAATTGAAAAATGGGTAATTGGATTTAATGCTCAACATTTACAAACCTTTTTTTGATTTCATTGTTTATAATTGTTTATAAATTATTTAAAGAGAAAAACAAAAGGTTTATATTTTGTTTCTTTTAACAAACCTTGTCTACATGTCCTATCTTCAAACAAAACCATCGTCTACATGTCCTATCTTCAAACAAAACCATTGTCTACATGTCCTATCTTCAAACTAAACTATTGTCTATATCTTGTATCTTCAAAATAAACTATTGTCTATAACTTGTATCTTCAAAATAAACTATTGTCTATAATTTGTATCTTCAAACTAAACTATTGTCTATATCTTGTATCTTCAAACTAAACTATTGTCTATATCTTGTATCTTCAAACTAAACCATTGTCTATATATTGTATCTTCAAAATAAACTATTGTCTATAGGTCGTATCTTCTAAGAATATCACAATAACGCCAAGATTTAAATTTTTTTTTTAAATTGTGTCAGCACATTATGTGAGAGAAATTATTTCTATTTAATCATTAGTAACCAAAGAGTAGAAAATTACCTGATACTGGTGGGTGCACCGTTAGACGGACGCCCTGGGGCGCATAGGGGCGGTTGAACGCTGTCAAAGAGGAAAATAATGTCAATGGAATCGTAACAGATTTACTTTTTAGTCAATAACAACATTGGACTGGTTTCAACAATCTTCTATACATCACGTTAATGAAATGAATTCGGTAGTTCCAAGTAATGTAGCCCTAACCACGGTAGCTCTAACTAGGGTAGCTGTAACTACGGTAGCTCTAACTAGGGTAGCTGTAACTATGGTAGCTCTACGATAGCTCTAACTATATAAGGTAGCTGTAACTACGGTAGCTCTAACTAGGGTAGCTGTAATTACGGTAGCTCTATGATAGCTCTAACTACGGTAGCTCTAACTAGGTTGGCTGTAACTACGGTAGCTCTAACTAGGGTAGCTGTAACTATGGTAGCTCTACGATAGCTCTAACTACGGTAGCTCTAACTACGGTAGTTGTAACTACACACACATACAAAACTAGAAACAGCGAGATGAACGTGGCAATAGTTCAAAACATCTGCTAAGGAGATGAGCATATCGTTGGGCCTAATGCACCTCATGTATTAGTTAAGTAAGCACAGTGTATATATATATATAGTTTTCAGATTAGTACCTCTTTAACATAATCAATGAATTGCAACAATTTTTATAATAATTATCCATTTTATTCTTATTCGGTATACGTGAAGAATATGTTTGGAAGCCTAGCGATTGGTTCACAGGTTGGATCAGAGGCTCTCAACTTGGGAAGTACTGCCCACTGGGTGCGGTGGGATAGCAAGCAATAGTTAGTAACAAGCCTTGACCAATGAGCCGAATACGGTAATGAGTGTTTACAATGGTTCCCGTAAGAAAAACAGATGGCATCAATTAACATTTTCTCTTTTTTTTTTTATTGTTGTCAATCTGGAAAGTCAAATAATATCGCTGAAGAGCTCGCCTTACCATCAAATAAGTGGCACGCAATTTGCCTAATTAGTTAGAAATTTTACTAGTTTCAGGAGATGAAGGTTCAGTTCGAGAAAATGGGAAATTTATTAAAATCAAAGTTTCCCTTCATTACTATCAGAATTAACCCTTTAAGCCCAAATAGGAGACGCCAAATGTGCCAAATTCCAAAGTCGTATTTAGCTATGAGATCATCTCCACGTTTGTTTGACTGTGCAATACAAAGTTAAGAATGCAGACTCTGAATATCTTCTGTAAATTGAAATCCACAGTGCACGATAAATGATATTTGAAGACACTGAGACACTTTGATTTGGTGACGATGAAACTAGTTGAGGTGAAAGTTGTTACGAAACGGACGCTAAAGTTGAAGATGTGGTAACAAGAGTTTTTGGCCAGACGTAGCGAACTCTTATCGTTGTACTTTGCCGTGGGAGCTGGCCATAAGATAAGATGACACTTTTTTGGCATTTTGTGCTTGGTGGCATATGATTTTAATGAGCCCCCCTCCACCCCCCCCTTACGGAACATGATTTTAAAGAGAGCCCCCTCCTACTTCCTTAACTCAAAATAAAATAGCAGCTCGGGGGGGGGGGGGGGGATTTTGGAGTTCTGCAGAATAACCTCAGAACAGATTGTGATACCAGTTTTTTTTTGTTTTTTTTACAATCATCTCAACAAGGATAAAGGGTTTTGAAGATAATATGTATCTTAAAATCTTGCTCGGCAATTAGTCTACTTCATAAATCTTCAAATATCACTGAAAACATTGAAATGGTTCATTTACTAAGTTAATTTTAAACAAATTAAAGCTTCGTTTGCGATGTGATCATTGTTTAATATATTCAAATACAAGCCACACTGAAACTTCATTTTAAAAATTATGACTTATTATTACCTCCCTTGGTGAGTGGCTTGAGCTCGCACTTTCAAATGGCTTTAAGGAGAAAAAAAAAGAGAAGGGGGGGGGGTGGGGTCAAGGTTGAGAATGTGGTTCCATTGGAGCTTTCAGATGAAAACTTTTGAGAACCACTGGATTAGGGAGTCGCACTTACGTATAGCCGACGTTGACTGGAGCATCACTACGACTGTTACCATGGCCACGGCCAACACAGCTTTGATCTGGATCTGAGGAATTAAGTAAATAGGTCATCTGCTGAAATGTTTCAATGCAGTGAATCTAATGAATTCAGTATTTGTCAGATTTATTCGAGTTAAGATTTATTTAGGTGGACTTTGTGACCAATTGTCGGCCACCATTCTTGCTATCAGTTTCTGACCAACTTATACCCCACTTATCTTACATCCATAAATTCATCATCGTTGGTTATGTTTGAACAAAACGGGACTTGCGAATTTACAAAAAAAGAAAATTGTTAAGCTTATGCGAAACAAATATTTGATAAACTGAGATGAAAAGTTTTATTTGATAAAAAAAAAAATATATATATATCGATGTGACTATTCGTACCAGGGTACCAGAAGTGAGCGGTTGGGAATAAAAAAAAAAAAAAAACTATTAAAAATATTATTGTTGGGTTTGTACGACAAAATGAGGCATCAAATGAAAGCTATAACTGAATGGACTACGTGTTTGTAAACTTACTTCTTCCGTCTAACTAAAATGAACTACCACAAATGACATCCGACAACATTGTTCACCATTTCACTTTGAGGGTATCTAGTCAACCCTGGCGCCCGAACAAAAATAATTTAGAACAAATAAACTGCAAAAGTGCTATGAGGTGTATGACAATTTACACTTGGCCATGATCACATCTCATCAGTTGTGTCATCTTACTCGTCATAACACCCCACTATCGAGATTGTGTCATTATGACATCACACTATGGAGATTGTGTCACCATCAAATCTGGACACTGTGTTTGTTCACTTTAACAACGCTTCTCTGCTATTTTCCATCACAATATTTTTCAAGTCTGATAATACAAGACGTTTTTGCATTTGTTACTACATATAATAAATTTATATATGTATATATATATATATATATATATATATAATATATGAATGATATTCCTAAATCTAAATACTGTGTTAACTTACCATCTTGATTTGTTCAGCTGATCGGCTTAGGACAGGAGTAGTTGACAAGGGCGTCTACAACAATGTCTGGCCTGGACCTTAAAGAAAGACAGCAGCTACTGGTTGGCTTATATACCGCTGGCGGGCTGTCAATCATTGTGCTGGCTCTCAGCTAAATTAAGGAATTTTCGTTTTTGAAATATTTTATTTCTCTAATCGTATTGCGTTGCAAGACAAATCTTGACAAAATGCCAGGTTTTTTTGTTTGTATTTTGTTTTTTTTTTTTTTTTTTTTTTTTTTTTTTTTTTTGTAAAGAGTCTCAGACAAGTATAGATCTATTCCTATTAATATATAATTGAATAATTTAAGGAGAAAAATTAAGATTTACTATTTTAATGTTTAAAATGTTGTAGCTTAATGTAAAATTCATTTCCTTGGATATGTTTAACAACATTGTTTTGTATTATTTAGGAGACACAAAGAAATTTATCAGGACCACATTGTTGGGTTAAAATATGTGAACTTCGTGGGCCATACTAATTAACCAAAACTCCATAGGCTAAGCTTTCGAAAAATTGCAAATGAATATTTTCATTACTTTTCCTTCCCCATATTGAAACCGAAAGGAATTTTTTGTTTAATGTACTATCGATGACCTATCTCAAGAATATTTTGCCAACCCCCCCCCCCCCCCCACCCCCCCCCCCTGATGTTGGCGCCCGTGAAGAGTGCCCGGTGGCGCATGTTATATTTTCATTACTTTTCCTTCCCCCTTTTGGAACCCGAAGGAATTTTTTGGTTAATGTACTAACGATGACCCATCCCAAGAATATTTTGCCCACCCCCCCCCCCCCCCCCCCCCCCCCCCCTGATGTTGGCGCCCGTGAAGAGTGCCCGGTGGCGCATGTGGCGCATGTTAGGGCAACCAATGGGTTCACATCGGTGAAAACCCGTGCAACATTTTTTTTTAAATGTGACGTCATAAGTCTATAAATAAATTGATTTTTTTGGTGGTGATGCGAAAACTGATTGTACGTGCGGCATGGGCGTGCCGAGGATTTGTGGACCCCAAGGAAATCCGAAAAGTTGGGCCCCCACCATTTCAAAATAAATGTATCAAACGTATCGATTCCCCCTCCCCTTAGGGGGCCTAAGGGGGGTAGAGCCCCGAATGATTTCCTCGGTTGCCTCGGCCTCTCTAAGGCCATGTACATGCGCATGGGGCGTGTGTCTACAAAATACGTGTGCAACAGGGGGAGGGAATAAAAAGTTTACTTTTTTTTTTTGTAATGTAAAAAAAATTTAGACCCACTGCCTTACAGAAAACATAATTTATATTAGAATCCTCTAATCGAGCTCTCTTTCACTCTGTCTCTCCCGCTCGCTCTCTCTCTGGTGATTTTTTAGCTTGACTGGGCTTCAACTGGATTTGATCTCCGGACCACCAACTTGAGATTTGCCCGGGGTTGTCCCCACATGTGCCACAACGAAGTATATAATATAAATATATAAATCCAAAAAAAAAAAACACTTTCCACTTTAAATATAATATGTTTTTCATGCTCAACTGTCTTGAATTGGTCTCAAGATTAAAACCGTTGGCAAAACTCTACACGAATGTGTAGGATGGTTCATGAGGGTCATTGGAATGGGAGAGGGGGGCGGTATCTAATAATAGAAAAGGTTGTACATTTTTCGCATACATTAATTGTCATTTTTTATTCCCTCAAATCAATCATGGCCACCGCTGTTTTGATCCTGCTTCAATCTTGCTCTGCTTGAACGGAGTCACCTGACGGGAAACGGGGCTAGGCTGGACCCACTAGAATAGTTCTAGTAGGTCGTGGGCTAGGCAAAGGTTGGACTCACTGGGGCCAGGACACGAGACGAGACCTACGGGGGCTGGGCATGACCCACTAGAATAGTTCTAGTAGGTCGTGGGCTAGGCAAAGGTTGGACTCACTGGGACCAGGACACGAGACGAGACCTACGGGGGCTGGGCAAGGTTGGGACCTACAGGTACAACACATGAAGTACCTACAGGTTCGACTTCAAATACTGCGACAAATGATGTTCCAGGTAAGTTTGACAAATGTACCTGGGTTGGTTTTTTTCCACAAATATAAAAGCAGGGAAATAGATAGGGACTACGGGGGTGGGTTGTGGGGATTATCTTTTGGGGAGTCCACATTGAGGTCCACATTGAGGTCCACACATGTGGTTTAAGCTGCGAAAAATTGTGCCCCATTCTAAGTCTCGCACCCAAACAAAAAGTACATAAGCATTTTACAATTTGAAAATAACGTACTTCTAATATATTTATTGAATTACAAAGAAAACTGTCGAGTTTAGAAAATAATCTTCTTCTAATATATGAATGTGTGCGTGTGATGTGTATTTACGTGTGATGTGTGTACGTGTGATGTGTGTGTGCGTGTGTGTGCGTGTCTGTGTGTGTACGTGTGATGTGTTTGTGTGCGTGTAGTCCGCGTAAAATAGGGGTGGGGAATGGGATAGAGACTTTCGAACTCTGAAATCTCATCTGTATCTACGCCTCTGCAAGAGACCACTACGAATGTAACATGAAACCAATATTTCTGATTCGAGTAACTCTAGACAGATCAGGCATGGAGACCCTTGTATGTCACGCGGCTTACAAATGACAGGCATTCGTTTATTCTGTCATCAATCATTTGTTTTTAACAGACAGTGTCTCTTAAGTGGCGCCGAACCCTTTCAAACTATTTATGAATTCAAGTGACCTACAGAGTAGGTCAATGTACATATGCCAAATATAGTAGTAGATTAATTTTCACACACCAAATATTGTATTTGATCTACAGAGCATTCCACATCCTACAGAATACATAACAAATAGTGTACATTTCACAAGCGATCTCAATCAAATATGGAACGCCGCAGAAGCAGGTAACCAGTCGTGGGATTGATAATGTAGATCTCAACTAAATAAAAATGTCGATATACATAATGATCTACTTAACGCCCAAACATTAATTCAATGTCTAAATATTTACCTACAAATACTGTGTAATAAGGGCAGACATGTTGTGCCATGCGCTATAATCTACCCGGTACTGCGAGGTCCTGTTGTGCCATGCGCTTTAATCTAGCCGGTACTGCGACCTCCTGTTGTGCCATGCGCTATAATCAAGCCGGTGCTGCTAACTCATGTTGTGCCATGCGCTATAATCTACCCGGTACTGCGAGGTCCTGTTGTGCAATGCGCTATAATCTACCCGGTACTGCGACGTCCTGTTGTGCCATGCGCTTTAATCAAGCCGGTACTGCGAGGTCCTGTTGTGCCATGCGCTATAATCTACCCGGTACTGCGATGTCCTGTTGTGCCATGCGCTATAATCTACCCAGTACTGCGAGGTCCTGTTGTGCCCTGCGCTATAATCTACCCGGTACTGTGAGGTCCTGTTGTGCCATGTGCTTTAATCTACCCGGTACTGCGAATTCCTGTTGTGCCATGCGCTATAATCTATCCGGTACTGCGACGTCCTGTTGTGCCATGCGCTATAATCTACCCGGTACTGCGACGTCCTGTTGTGCCATGCGCTATAATCTACCCGGTACTGCGAGGTCCTGTTGTGCCATGTGCTTTAATCTACCCGGTACTGCGAAGTCCTGTTGTGCCATGCGCTATAATCTACCCGGTACTGCGAGGTCCTGTTGTGCCATGCGCTGTAATCTACCCGGTACGGCGACGTCCTGTTGTGCCATGCGCTATAATCTACCCGGTACTGCGACGTCCTGTTGTGCCATGCGCTATAATCTACCCGGTA